AGGAAGATCAGCCCTGAGCTAACATCTGTGCTAATCCTCCTCTTTTTGCTGAGGAAGACCGGCTCTGAGCTAACATCTATTGCCAATCCTCCTTTTTTTCCCCCAAAGCCCCAGTAGATAGTTGTATGTCATAGTTGCACATCCTTCTAGTTGCTGTATGTGGGACGTGGCCTCAGCATGGGCGGAGAAGTGGTGCATCAGTGCGCGCCCAGGGTCGGAACCTGGGCCGCCAGTAACAGAGCGTGCGCCCTTAACCACTAAGCCATGGGGCCGGCCCCTGTTCCCTTTATATTTTAAAGACAGCTTTGGCTGAGTATAAAATTCCTGGCAACTTCATTTTCCTCAGACCTTTGGAGCCTTCTGCTTCACTACCTTATGAAGTGCTCTAAGATCTGAGACCGTCATTTTTTCCCTCACTGTACATGACTTGATTTCTGTTTGGATGGCCATATAATTCTTTATCTCTTAAATTCATCAGGATATTTCTTGATAGATTGCTTTTTATTATTTCAGGAAATTTTGAATTTTTTAGTTTGATTTGCTTGTCAGGAATGTCAGTTATGCATATGCAGGCTTTCTTTTTATGTGTTTTATTATCTCTGTAGCTTTTAATTTATTATGTTCCATTTTTTTATTTCCTTCTATGCCTTCCATTTAGTTTATATTTTGTTTTCAAATGAGGCTTTCATTTCTTCAATTTTTCAAATCTTCATTTCTTTAAGTTCTGCCAAACTTATTTCCATCCTTTAACCTCTTCTTTGAACTTGTATACTTGCATTTTTTAAAACAGATCACTTTATCTCCTATGTCTCTTTTTGAGTCTGTGGAGAACTTGTTACTTTAACCTCTTTAGGGGAGTGGCCAGCATCTGTGATCATTCCTTTCTGATTAATGTTTATTTAAACTTAGGTCAGTCTAGTGAAAATACCAGAAAGCGGCTAGAGGAATGAGCTTTAAGTTGGGTTGTTGTATTAGAAGCCTCTCACCAAAACCATTATGTATTTCCTTTGCCCCTGAGAACACATCTCCCTTCATTTCTTAGTATTTAAGAGGTCTTTGTGCCCTATGGCAGTATAATTCAAATAGTGAGAAGTGAAATCAATTTAGTGGTTTGCATCCAACATCAAAAACTGTATAGAGGGCTAGCTCCAGTGGCCTAGTGGTTAAATTTGGCGTGCTCTGCTTTGGCGGCCTGGGTTCAGTTTCTGGGTGCAGACCTACACCACTCGTCTGTCAGTGGCCATGCTGTGGTTGTAGCTCACATACAAAAAGAGGAAGATTGACAATGGATGTTAGCTCAGGCACATCTTCCTCAGGAAAAAAAAAGACCAAACCTGTATAGGAAATATTAGAATGCATTTTGCAGAAGGAATAAGAATTTTTTCCTGAAATTTGTTTCAGTACAGAACATATACTATGTGTACAGAGGTAAGATGTAAAATGTGTTTCTTAATATAGGCTGCAGTCAAAAAGTTATAAGGCTAGTTCCAAGGCCTCATCCAGTAGGCTAGCACATAGATGACAGAAATGGCCCTTCAGCAAGGTTCATCCTTGAGCTCCATCTCCTGTGCAGTTCTGTAATTTATCAAAACAATCTCAAGAGCAATGTTCAATGTGTCCCACTCACTCTTATCTCTTTGTACTAATGAAAGAATAGGGACAGTCTGCTTCCTGCTATATATAGGTTGACTCTGCTGCCCCACTGTGGTCCAGATTTTACCATATGCCTAAGTAAGTATGCTTTAAGTTTATAGTTTATGTTTGGGGAGGTTAAATTGTTGGTTTTTTTGGGGTGGGTTTTAAAATTTTTATTGTCAAGTATACTTTCCAATAAAATTTTTATTTTAACAATATACTGGATGATGACTTGGTTGGTCCATAGGTCATTTTAGCCAGAAGACATTTCTTTCCACCTAGATCACTTTGGTAAAGAAACAACTGCTAGGACTCTATAACAGATGTAAATAGAGGTACTTATATTTAATTTTTAAAGGCAGTCCTATATATAGTTCTATGATAAGCCATAATAGCTTTTATGGACAACTTTTATTAGCTCAAGTATTATCAGGAGAGGAATCACTGAAGAATATGAAATCTCAAATATGATCCCAAAATGCTTTAATATTGCTACAAAAGTCCTTCAGTTTAGTAGCAAGCAATAGGATGTTTATCCTATGACCAGATAACGGCTTCCCAAGAAACTGGATCCTGTGAGGCAGTTGGGTCTTCACAATTCTTGCTGGAACCAAAGCTGCAGGAAGTCAATCAATCTCTTTTTCCGTTTTTAAAGGAGGAAAGGTAAGTACAGGTAGACGGAACTCTAGCAAAGATCCCAACACCCTCTTGCTGATCAATGCCCACGGACACTTTTCAGTCCTTATTTTGCTTCTGCATCCTTAGACCCTTGGCTGCTTTGACCTACTCTCTCCTAATTCTCGTACCTTTCTGAATGGTTCATTTCAGTTTTCAATCAGTGATTACACTTCTTCCTCTCACCAGTGTTGGCTTTTCCTACATACACACACACTCCCTGGGCACTCTTCATTTAATTCTACATCTTCCACAATTACCTAATCATTGTCAATTCAGGGCTAGATCATTATGTTCAACTCCCATCCCTATTTCCAACTGTCTGGGCTTTATCTAGATATACCATAGATATCTCAAATTAAACTTTAAGTTAAACTGATGCATCATTTTCACTACCACCACAACTCTTAATACCTGCCCCTCTAAAACCTGCTCTCTTCCTGCTGTATTTTCTGGCTTTGTGAATGGCACTACTGTCCAACAATTCAGGTCAAAATTCCAAGTGGTACAGATACTTTTCTCTCCATCAAACCTTTTCAATCTTTTTGCCCTAATACTACTGACTAGACTTGGATAATGTCAATGCGTGTGGGATAAAGGCTGAGCACCTTAACCTGGAATTCAAGGCTTGTGGGGAAGAAACAAAATTATATAAAAATGCCATATAAAAAGCGTTCCAGGTTTTACTGTTTGTTGAACTGTTCAATGCAACTAGATTAAATGATCCAGAAGAAACCTTACACTTAAATGCATTCTTTTCTCACAAAGCTGCGGCTAAGCAGTAGGTTTTCATGTTTATTACCACTTGCTGCTGCTGGACATAAAGCTGGAGCTAATATGTTTTACTGATTTGATCTTTGAATGTAACAGCAGCAGCACAAAACTCAGGATTCTCAGAACAGTTCCAATCATGGAGCAAACCAAAAACTAAATCACAGGAAAATGGGAAATGAGCATGTCAAATTTAATAACAAAAGTGGCACCAGGCAGCCACTTCCTCTCCTTGTCCTTCATACCCTCCGCCCCTCAAATCCTTTCTATCCTCATAAATTTGAGTACAGTCAAGGTTGGTGGCACAAAGAGGTCAAAAGCAACTCCTGGGAAGCATTATCCCTCAAAGGTGGATTATGATTCAAAAGGAGGTACAAAATTCAGCATCTCTTTCATTAAAAAAAAAAAAAAAAAA